TGGTGCTCCCCCGAGAAGGTGCTGGAGTTCTAGAAAGGAGGGCGTCTCCAGGTCATGGGTTCGGATGCCGTTCTCTGTGGCCTCTAGCTTTGGGCAAGTTACGGGGTTACTCTGGGCAGCAGAGTACCTGTCTGTCCCGGGGGCCCCACCAGACCTGCACAAGTTGATGTCCGTAGGATTCTGGGTGTGCTGTAGACAACACCTGATGTGTCCTGCATTTTCTCAGTGACCTCACCATCATGCGAAGCTGGCAGAGTTCTGAGCACGTCTCCCACTGTCAGGCCCACTGGGTGTCCTGTAGGAGAACCCGTAACAGCAATGCCGCCCTCTCTTTCCAGAAATGAATCGTCTGCTTTAATCACGGGGTGAGTCTTAAGAAGGTAAGGCCTGGTGATGGATGGCACTGGGCACAAGCTCCCCCAGCCCAGCCCTCAGCACCCCCCAGGTTTGGGCCAAATCACGGTCTTGGATGCAGGTGCCTTCAGGAGCCAGGCAGGGAGGGGAATGTGGAAGCTGTTGAGGGCGAGGCTATAAGGAGTGGTGCAGCCTGTGGGTGGCCAGAGAGAGGCCCTAATGGCCAGCCAGGGCTCTGCTGCTACCCAGACCTCAGCTGACTGCAGAGGCATAACTGAGCCAGGCTGGATGGGAAGCACTGCCCAGCGACACAACAACTTGTGGCTTTGAGGCTGTTTGTTACATGGCATTATCGTGGTGATTGGTAAATGATACAGTTCTGTGGGCCGAATTCACCTGCAGGCCTCCTGATTGTGACCTCAGCAGTTTTCAAGACTTCTTCCAATTCAGAATATGATTCCGTGAGAAAAACATAACTGTACACTCTTTCCCCCATAGGGCTCTACAACCAGGGAATGTCACTGCACTGGGATTATTTGCTTTCCACTCTGCCTGGCAGTCATGGCTCACCAGCTTGCAGGTCCACACAGGGTCACAACTCCTTCTGGGGATCAGGGGTAGGAGTGCTCGTGGCCTGGAACCGAGGTGTGGGGACAGGAGACGGGCAAGCCAAGCAGAACAGCCGTCCATGAGTCATGGTTCCAGAACAACCAGCAAATGGCCAGCACCTGCTCACCCACCCCCTCCCGCACCTGTCAGCCTCACCAGGGGGTTCTGGCCGCTGGACAGGCAGGGTGGGGCCGGCCCAAACTGACCACCCCTCCAGAAGAAAGTGACAGATGTTAGCACCAGCAGGTCCTGCCCTCCGCATCAACAGATGTCAAGACATGAAAAATTGGGGTAAATGAAGGGTGCACGATTAGATTTGGGCCCAAGCTGGGTTCTTGTGGGTGCCAGAGACAGCTGCAAAGGCACGTCAGGGACAATCACCCTGATGCAGTGGGGGCTGCCAGGCCCGTGTGCCCAGGGACAGCTGGACGAGGTGCTGACATGGGGCTCCTTCCTCTGAAGCCGTCCCGCAGCTGCTGGGAGTGCCGCCAGCTGTGAGCTTGTGCGCCTCGGCTCCAGGGCCGTGCTGGGGGAGCTGCAGGCGGACCCACCTAGGGGTTCCTGGGACACTAGCCCATCTTGAGCTGAGAGCTCCTCTCAGGGGAGCTCCCTTTCTCCCCTCCCCTCCCCTTCTTGGCCCTTTCTGGCTCTGTCCAGGTGGGGCTCAGCTCCAGGTCTCTTGAAACCAGCCCGGAGGGCAGTCAGGCCTCCTCTCAGCACCTCTGGCCTCTCCTGTATCTTGGCTTGTTTTCATATAGTTTTTTCCTTGAAAATGTAGGTTCAGGAGCCTCCCCCAGGCTCCTGGCGTTGGTGAACAGCTGCTTCATAGAGACCCCAGCATGCAGGCGCTGAGCGGTGGGGCGAGAGGAAAGCATCTCGGTGCCCCGACCCAGCACCAGGCCCCGGCCCTCCGGCTTGGGGTTTGCAGAAGAGGTGTGTTTTAGAGTGGGGCATCTTCGCGGGGCACAAGATGTACCCATGTCTGAATATTATTTTAAAACTGTTAGTTGCTCTCTAGCATAGATGAAGATGTAAGTTTAAATGAAGATGTAAGTATAAATGACATGACTTATTCCAACAGGTAAAAGCAATGCCTTTTTAGGTGATTCTGAAACAAGGACCAGAGCAGATTTTTTTTTTTTAATTTTGGTGAAATTCACATAGCATAAAATTAAGTTTTTTTAGGTGTACAATTCAGTAGCATTTAGTACATTCACCATGTTGTGCAAGCATCACCTCTATTTAGTTCTACAATATCTTCATCACCCTACAAGGAAACCCTGTCCCTGTTAGCAGTCACTCCTCATCCCCCTCCCCCAGCCCCTGGGAACCACTGATCTAATTTCTGTCTCTGTGGATTTGCTTATTCTGGATGTTTCATATAAATGGAATTGTACAATATGTGGCTTTGTGTGTCTGTCTGGCTTCACTCACTGAATACGTTTTCAAGGTTCATCTATGTTGTAGAATGTATCAATATGACTCTTTTTTATGGCTGAACAATACACCAGTGCACGTTTGATTAAATTCAGGCTGAAACAGGCACGAACTGAGCCACTGGCCAGCCTTTCCATGGCCAGGCCCTGCTCGATGGGGTTCATTCCCGTGAAGGTTCTAGACGCTCAGATGGACTGGACCTCTGCAGTCAGCTCAGAGGAGGACCCTGGAGGAGACATGAGAACATGAGCTCCCGGTGGACCCTCTGATGGCCTCGCCCACCCTGTGCAAACCCGGGGAGGGAGCCCAGAGCCCAGCGAGCTGGAGGCTGGACAAGGGGCCCCTTTCTGCTCTGCACAATGTCCCATTGTGCCCTTCTCAGGGGGGAACAATGCAGCCTCAGCCAGGGGAAGCTGAGGACAAAGGGCCCTTTGTGAAAACTGTCCCCACCTGAAAAGCAGCACCCGGGGTCACACCTGACAGCAGAGCCATCCTTCCTTGCCTCCGTCCCCTGTGCAGCTCCCACATCCAGGTGGGGACCCAGGGAAGCTTGGGCAGGCTTGGGCTGGGGGCCCTGGACTCTCCCCACTCTTCCCAAGTGGCTGTGTGGGCTCATCCCGAACGTGGCACCTGGACAACAGCGGGTATGGAGGGGAGGTGTGGGTTGTGGGTTCCTGTGGAAGGACCTGGAAGCAGGGCACGGCCAGGGCTCCCCGAGGCTTGAGCCCTCAGGATGAGGGCTCAAGGAGCTAGGGGCTCTCCAGGCTACAGAAGATGTTTGCACCCTCCATTGAAAATCTCTTATAGGTCTTAGAGATGGGGTCCGAGGGAGGGTTTTTCATGGAAAAGAAAAGGGAGCTTTTAAAAAAAAATCACACTATAAGGTACACGTAAATGCTATTAATCCAACAATGGGAGGTTGGGGTGGCAGCTGAGGGCTGGAGGGGGGGTTCCGGAATTTCCTGGTCAAGCCTAATTTGGGAGAACCTATGTCCAGAGGCAATCCCTGCCCTCATGGGGCTTACACTACAGGTGAAGATATAATTAAACATGCCAGAAAAACTGATCATTTGACTACACAACTATTGATAATTTACATACCAAAGACTAGGAACAAGACATAAAAACAAACAAACAAAAAACCCAGAACATTTGCAATATACAGACAAGAAGAAGATCTTTCTTGACAAAATTCACCACTCACTTGTCTGGGCTTGTTGTGTGTAGTGCATTTCACATTGCATGACTAGGCGGTTGTCTCTCCCCTGCTAGACTGTGAATTCTTTCAGGATCAAAACTATTTCATATTTACCTTTGAATTCTAGTGGCCAACACAAATGAAAATGGTATAGTCAAAATGAAAACTATACCTCATGGGCTTTAATGTTTTTTTCTTTTAAACTATAAAGTGAGAATGTTGATCTACTTCCACTTTGAAATGGAAAGATATTTTAAGTAGATAAAATCCCAAGCAATATTTAAAAAAGAGGATCTTTAATATGTAAAGAGCTCTAACAAATGAATAAGAAAAAAAACACACCTACCTCAATCATTTCCTTCCAAGTGCCCCACAGTTTACCCAGTAACCCCTAAGGTCCACTCTCTCACACAGCTCTTCCTTCCTCTGAGGAATGCCTACCATTCCACCTGCTTAGAGACACCCCTCCTGTATCCTCAGAATGTAGAGTTGCTTGTGTCCTCACTGGGGTTATGCTTGGGTCATTGGTCAGTAAGCTATTCCTTACTCTGAATCCTCAGCCCACCACTCTCCCCTGTGGCTGGAGGTCCAGTCTTGAGGGCCAATAGGAGCGCTGACCGTCTAAGGGGACTTTGCTGTCCTGTGCAGAGATGTTGTGGGGTTGGTGGGGGGTAAAGGGGAAGAAAGCTGGAGCGTCTGAATTTTAGGGCCCAGCCACTGCATGCACTGTCCCTCACTAGCTGTGTGATCATCACCCCAGCACCCTCCTCAGACAGCAGAGATGGGGAGTTGGGAGGGGACACCTGTGAGGTACTGGTCCACACCCCCCGTTCAGGCAGTGGCAGCCTGGAGCCCTGGGGTGAAGCTGCTGCTCTGGCCTTTCCTCTGCAGGAATGCAAGTCCACACACAGCCAGGGCGTGCAGCAGGAGCGCAGTACCCTCCAGGGTCCTTGGCCGCCCACATCTCAGCTGCCCTGGACGCGGAGAAGGCCTGTGGTCTGATACGTGCTTTCCAACAATCTCTTTCACATTGCATTTCTGCTTCTGAAGTGCCATCCGTCCCTCTCCAGTGTGAGGGTCCAGGAGGGTAGGCGCCTAGGTAGGGGAGTGCACTGGGGGCCTCTGCAACTTTGGCTAATTCAATGAATGAATGAGCGAGTGAATGAATGAGTGAGTGGGTCAAGCCCGCTCCAGGTGGGGCGACGAGCCGTTCTCCACGAACCCACCCCGTTACTCTCACGGCTGCAGCGCCCCGAGCGACCTGCGGGGAGCGCGCGCGGTATCGGGCCAGGTCCTCGCTCCCCGCGCATGGGCGTGGCTGGCCGGAGTTGGTCGGACCTCCAAGAGTGGGCGGCGTCTCTCGGCGTGGGCGGGGCATTTTCAGCGCGCGGCGCTCCTCGCGCATGCGCTCCGACGGCCCGGCGATGGCGGCGCCGGAGGACCCCTTGAGGAAGCGGAAGGCTGGGGTCGTGGGCCCGGCGCCTGAATCTCCGCCAGGGCCGGGGCGCGACCCCGCGGGCTGCCCTGCCCGCCTCCGCGCGGGCACCTTCTGGCTGACCAGGATCGTGCTCCTGAAGGCCCTCGCTTTCGTTTACTGTGAGTTCGCGGGGCCAGGCGCCCCAGTGTGGCCCCTCCGCTCGCGCCCTGCCCCCCACCCTCAGGCCCACCCCCAAGCGGGTTCGCGGCCGAACCTCGGCCCTGCGCCCCCCTCCGTCCTGCAGGTCCGGGGGGCCCCCACGCCGACCCCGCGCTGACCAGGAGCTCGTGAGGCGGCGACTCCCCTTTGCCGCCTACAGGTCCCACGAGCTGCGGCCCCGCCGCCTCCCCGCGGCTCCAAAGCTTTGAGGCCTGAGCAGCAGGTGCGGCCTCACCTGCGGGGTTCTGTGCGAGCCAGGTTTGATCAGGCGGAGAACCGCGCGGTCTGCCCCAGTCTCCCTCTCTCCCTCCCCTCGCCCCAGGCCGCCCCCCAGAACACCGCTGGACACCCGACGCCCCCCGCCCGCGCGCGCGCGGAGTGCACACCCCCCCGACCCCGATCCCCACGCCTGGAGGGGCGCAAACGCCCTGAGCCGAGCATTGGTGCCTGAATCCAAACTGGGCTTCTCAGACAAACGTGGCAGTGCGGGGGCCAGTGGGGTTGGGGCACAGCCTCCGGCTGAGATGGCCTGGGGCCAGTGGGCAGTCGCCCTTCTAGAGGGTTCCGGAGGGCGCTGGTACCCGGCGGGCCGGCCGGGATTGCACGCCGCGGGCACCGGCCGTCCCGGCGTCATTTCTGAGTTTTCATAACATGCGTTCCAAGGGAGTGGAAATGCCACGCTTTGCACAGCGACCGTCATCACACACCGAGCGGGGCGCCGCGGGGACCAGGGCCCGGCGCGCGGTGAGGCTCGGTGTGCGGCGCTGGGGGATTCAGCTACGATTCTCGTGCGCTCTAAGTTACTATAGAAAATACTTCTTGCCAGTATTGCTTTATTCTCCACGGGATTAGTCATTCTAAACGTTTGAGCTGTCACTTAGTAAAAGATGGAGTCAAGACAAAGTTAATCTCCGAGACTTTAACAGACCCTTAAACCGGCACCATGACAGTAGAAAAACCCCGCTGGCTTAGCTCGCAGAGAGCACAGCTTATAAAAAACTCAGCTTGGCTTTCCAGTGTTAGGGGTTGCCTTTGATCTCCACAGGGATTCTCTGTTCGGTTCAGAAGGAAACCGTTTTGAACCAGTGGGTCAAGAAGATATTTTAAGGCCGGTACTGAGCAAAGAATGATTTGTTTTGGCATATGCATTCCCCCCCACCCCCATCTTTTCTCGCTATTTGGGGTAGAGTCAGTGCTTTTCAGCTGCACGAAGGAACCAGTTTACCATCTTCAGGGACGAGGGTCCCTGGCTGAGATGGCTCTGGCAAGTAGGCAGTTGCCCTGTATTGATTTCTTTCTGGAGGGTTCCAGATCTCCTGGGGACTGTGAGCTACCTCAGAGCCCCTTAAGTCCCAGGAATTTCCCACAATGCCACAGGCTGTCCACAGCTTTCACTTGATGTTGAGTGTTACAGTTGCCCTCATGGACTGCTGACCCCACCAGCAGGCTGAATAATGGACCCCTAGCCTATGCTTCCTTCACCCTCTGCACATCTAACAGAGTTCTTAGTGTCATTAGTCTACCTGTCTGTGCGACTCCCTGGGAGCTCCTTGAAGCCAGGGTCGGTGTTTAATACCTCTGTCCTCTGTCTTCTAGGAGCAGCTCCTGCTCCATAAAATTTCCTTGACGTTTTGCAGTCTTTATCATTGCTCTGTGCCACCACAGGATACTTTTCCAACTGTGTCCTCCCTCCTCCCCAGCTCGGCACCCCAGGACCTGGGTGTGACACTCAGGTCAGAGACTGCCCACCCGAGAGGCTCCTGGTTCTCTCTGAGTTGTAGTTGTAATTCCTCAGATCTCGTGTCTTGTTTTGGGGTTTATTCTCTCTCTTTACTGGAGCATATCCCAAAACAACGTTCCAAGAAAAGATACAGAGAAGGTGAACTTTCTGTGTCCTTCCTTGCACACGTAGAAATTGGCCACTTGCCTGGGTCTGTGGCTCTCAGAGCAGTTTTCCTCAGAACTTTGTGGTGTCAAGGGGTCTTTACACAGTCTGACTCCTGCTCTTTTGCAGGTGACTAAAGGGAAACACTTTTATTTCTTCTGCTCACATGCTTGTGACACCAGATGTGGGTTTTTTCTCACAGCGAGTAATCGTCTGATTGTCCAGACACCACGTGAGTGTCCTGCAAGTCAGTTCGTTTTGACCCTAACTGCCCGGCGTCCCCACAGGCTGAGGGCTCAGTCCCACGAGACACCCCCCAACACCGCAGACGCCAGTGAGAAGTCCAGGCCGTCACCTGTGCTTCTGACCAACCATATGTAAATTGGGGTTCCCACGACCCCCTCCTCGGGTTCCATAACTTGCCAGAACAGCTCACAGAACTCAGGGGAACACTTTGCTTATGTTACTGGTTTATCATAAAGGACATGACTCGGGAACAGCCAGATGGGAGAGATGCCCAGGGAAGGTGTGGGAAGGGGTGCAGAGCCCCCACGCCCTCCCAGAGAGCCACCCTCCCAGCACCTCCCTGAACCCCTCCATTTGGGGTTTGTTTGGAGGCTCCATTACACAGGCAGGACTGATTAAATCCCTGGCTGTTGGAGATCAGCTGCGTCTCCAGCCCCTCCCCATCCCGTGAGGTTAGAGGTCAGGAGTGGGGCTGAAATTTCCTCTGGCAATCAGCCCCCATCCTCCAAGAATCACCTCATTGGTATAAACCCAGGTAAGGTTGAAAGGGGCTTGTTATGAGTAACAGATGCTCCTCTCACCTCATCACTCAGGAAATCCCTGGGGTTTTAGGAGCTTTGTGCCAGGAACCTGGACGAAGACCAAATAAATATTTCTTATGATATGACAATACCACAGGGACCTTTTTTCCTCTCTGGGAGCTTTTCGGGTCTGCTGCCTTGCCATCCTGGCCCGGGTCCTTGTCATGTGATGGCGTGGCTCTGTGAGCTCCCTTCCTCGTTCCTTTGCAGGGCCCAGGTGAGCTCACTCAGACTTAAGACTCCTGCCCTAGTTCTGGATGAGCTTCTCTGGCCCTGCCCAGTCTGCTGACTCCGGGCCCCTGTCTGTTCAGACCCCCCAGTGGGTCCCAGATGTACCCCGTTGGAGACCACCAATGCACTGAGGCTCCCAGCTCAGACCAGAGCCTGAAGCTAAACGAGGTTCTGTTGCAGAAGAAGGTGAGCTCCTCCCAGGCCTCGGGAATTGTGCCCTCATATGGGACCCGCCGCTGTGATGGCCAGGACCGTCTGAGTGACCATGTGTAGGTGACTGCCGCCATGGTGCTCTCCAGAAGGAACTGCAAGCACTGGAGCGGATGGAGGACTTTTTGACACATCAGCAAAATTATTTATCTCCCCAGTTTCATATGGTACCTTGGAGTCCCTGGGATAATATATCTTTTAAAATCCTACTTCAAAAAGATCTCACAGCTAGTTTCAGCCCAACTCTGATTCCTGGCTTTGCCAGCTTACGGTACTGTCCTTTTGGTTCAGATTTGCTGTGCAGTGTCATGCTTGTGTCTTTCCTTGTTTGCTTTACCTGTAGTAGAGTTTATTAGGTCTTTCTTTCCAGCTGCCAGTCACTGTTACAGCGTCTGAGGTGAACCTAAACTGCACCCTCTAACAGCGGCAGCTTGTCTCACTCATGGTCAAGAGGTCTCACCTGGGGTCTGGTAGCTTAGCCTTGCGGCCAGTCAGCGCCCAGGCCCAGCACTGGCGCAGCCCAGCAGAACCACACGCACCTGCATTTGCTGAACTCTTAGGCGTTCTTTGGAAATTTTGAGGAAGAAAATGGAACCAAAAGAGTACTCGAATCTTGCTTCATTTTCTGTTGTTCTGAGCTTTCAGCGCTTCCAAGATTCATGGGAACTTAGTTCTTCCCTCCAGGCCCCTTGATTGCTAATGAAATGCTCTGCTTGGTTTCACAAGCTTCTCTGTAGAATGCTTCCAGTTTGTTTAAGAAACAAACCTGCCCTACGTCTGAGCTCTCTACAGCACACACCTTTAAAGAAAACCTTTAAAGAAAAAGTACTGGAGGTTATTTTTCTAAGGCCCAGAATTTAGCCACAGTCCATAAAACCACCCATCGGAGAGTGACATTTCGGAGATGATTCTGTTTTAATTTTATAGCACTTTATCTGAAGGGGAGAGAAAACTAAATTTTTTCTTTTTGATTTTTTAAAGAAAATATTTGCGGACATCCTTGATAATGCATATTAGGTGACCTGGTAACCTCTCCTAGGTCAGTCTGTGGGTTACCCCACCAGGGAGCAGCTGAGAGTCTCATGCCTGGGCCCTGTCTCCTTCCTTCCTAGAGCTGGGGGGAAGGGGTGTCTCCTTCCTTCCTAGAGCTGGGCAGGGGCTGTCTCCTCCTTTCCTAGAGCTGTGGTGGGGGGGGGGTGTCACCTTCCTTCCTAGAGCTGGGCAGAGGACTGTTTCCTAGAGCAGGCTGGGGGCTGACTGAGCCTTTCTAAGGTTGGTTGTTTGGTTTAGCTTTGAGATCCTATGATTTTTTGAAAACTTTTTTCTTTATTTAGCCATTTCTATAACAGAAGTGAAAAATGAATAGGTTCTTTTCTTCTGAAATTTAAATCCATTCTATTTTCATTTTTTCCTGTAAGGTAGGAAGTTTCCTATGATGCTTGCCTTAGATTTACTTTTTTTTTTTTAGTTAAGATGGTATGTTTTATGCTTTGTGTATTTTACCACAATTTAAAACTTTAAATTTTTTTAAATTAAAAATTGAAAATATTGTAAATGGGTGTTGAACTTTGTCAAAAGTTCTTTCTCCATCTGTTGAGATGATCATATGGTTTTTATTCTTCGATTTGTTAATGTGGCATATCACATTGATTGATTTGCATATATTGAAGAATCCTTGCCTCCCTGGGATGAATCCCACTTGATCAGGGTGTATGATCCTTTTAATGTGTTGTTGGTAGATTTACTTTTTAACTAGTGAGACCAAATTTCGTTTTTCTTTCATGGCATTGGACTGTGGTTGTGGGGA